GAAATAAGAAAATTTTCTCTTTAATCTCTTGACTTTTACAAGTTTGTCTAAAGGTTGTGAAAAGGTTCTTCACAACAATCGATGTTTTATCATTAAAAGCGAATAAAAATATTTTGAAAGTATCTTCATCCGTCAAAAACCTTTGAAAACAGTGTACTAATACCATAATAAATAATATGTTAAACTAGAGCTATTGCAAACGATATGCATAATTAAAGTAATAAATTTAATAAGAAAACCGTTAATTTCAAACACTGCTATGTAGTAGCGTTTGTGGGGTCATGTGCGAGATTGCAAAGCCGAAGGTACAATTTATTGCACGATTTTAGAGCGGTCTTAATTTACTGCATTCATTATCATAAGATCACGACTACGGTACACGTTCAGAAACTTACATATCATGCCCGTTACCGTTGTCGCAGATTATGTCACAAACGAGATATAAGAATAAACCTAACATGCAATGCAATTTTCTGTCCCATGCTTCGAGGGCGTCAGAAGCCCTCTTACCATTTTAGTGTCAATACCCGACGTTACCGATAAAACATGAATTCTGAGTATTATTAGCACAAATGAAGTGTTATATATTCCATTCATATTGCGTGTATCTATATGATTTGACGGGAATAAAAATATCCGATGCTTCAGTTTAAGGTTAAGGGATAAATATGACAGTCATGAAACATGAAACGGAAAAGTATATATTTTTTCACTTAACTACAAGACAATTTATTCTAAATGCATCGTTAATGGACATTTTATTAATGTTACTTTTTACATGTTCTTGTTTTATTCGTTTTTATATCTTGCCTTACATTTGTATATTTGTAACAGATAAATTCGGAATAGATGTAGTTTCATGAATAGTTTATCAAATCTACATGCGGGAGAATATATACGCCGCTTTTATTAACATTTACATATTCATAATTTATATGGGAGTATGAATAGTTTTACTGCCTATTGTAAGAATCTTAATACGCACGAACAATTACTTTCTGGCAATTGGTAAATTTTTACATATGAATTTACTTACACGTTATTTACTTACAAAAATTTTATTTATTGCGAGTAATTAAATAATGAACGTATGTTAATATTCAGCTACGTGTCTCTCAAATTAAGTGAAATACAGAAGTTTTATTTTCTTGAAAATTAGTGTCAAAGAATGCAGCAACTGGTCAGATTAGTTTCGTAAATAAATCGAAACCCTGTATCGGCACATTGTTTTTTAGGCTATCAAATATCACATGGAGTCTTTTAGGAAGTAGTAAAATCTTTTACACAAATTCAATGAAATACTTTCTGGTACCCAGTTTAGGGCTATGAAATTAGAATGTCCAGAAGAGGTAAAGAAGTTTCAAATTTGCAATTATTTTGTGATACTGTAATAGAAATCGGTATCCTGTGAGAAAAATCGTATTTAACGATATGAAATGAATAATAAATAACGGTCTTAGGAATATATACTGGAGAGCTAAATCTTTAAAAAGAACATGTCGCTTAACCAACTTAGTTAACAATGATATTTATTTGGGGAATATGTGAGCACCGAACCGCGGTTCGGTGCTCTCCGTCAGTGCCGACACGTGCCGAACAGTGCCGGAGATGGCCGGAGCAGTCGAACAGGAGAGAGCGAGCCACGGTATCGGTACTCACCGTCGGTGTTGACGCGTGCCGAGGAATTTCGGGGGTCTATGGGGGTAAGTGTGCGAGCGAGAGAGTACGGTAGAGCGTGCCGCGGTATCGGTGCTCTCCGTCGGTTCAACGCGCTAGTGACGTGCGTCACACAGTTTATTGACCTAGCCGTGTACGCCGTGTACCATGGCTGTACCTGGCTGTACCATCCGGTGTTTGGGTCGTTCAAGGAGGAAGGTCGTTCAAGTCGGCAAAAACAATTCAACACGAACAAACCTGCGTACGCCCAATACATAACGGCGTTAGCTTCCTCACTTTCTCGTGAGCCGTCGCGGAGGGTGGGCGTGCGTCTTATACTCGTCCTTTCTCTTGTTACTAACCCATTGTTTGTTGCAGACATTCGACAACCATCAATTTATTTACTGTGCATATTGTTGTGTCCCCTCTCTTGTTACTAATCCCTTGTATGTTACAGATGTTCGAGAACCATTGGCTTCGATATTTATCTTCTTATGTACTGTGATTCATTTACTGTGATTTATTTACTGTGATTTCTATACTGTGATTTATTTACTGTGCATATTATTAATTTATTTATTGTGCATATTGTTGTGTCCCCTCTCTTGTTACTAATCCTTTGTATGTTACAGATGTTCGAGAACCATTGACTTTGATATTTATTTTCTTATGTACTGTGATTCATTTACTGTGATTTATTTACTGTGCATATTATGTATTCTATGTGTATTGTATAATGAAAAATATTTTTCCAAACAGTTATTCCATCGAAAGAAGACATCGATCAACGTCTACATCTTCAAAGCGTGCGTCTACCACTGCGTTAAGTTACTGTAAGTTAAACTTAAATCATAATTCGATATTCATTGTTATATTCATATTCATCATCACATCGTTTATTATTAATTTTAGTCTATCTATTAATAGACTTAAATTGTGATCAGCCATTGTGCATACCAAGTTATTATTAATTCATTTTGCTCGTTGATTTCTCTACACAGACTTGGGGTATGGGCAGTGGGTCTGTACCTATTATGGTACGGGCAGTGGGCCTGTGCACTAAGACTGTTTGCCGATCCCTCTGGTTTCTATTGAGAAGCCAGATATCGGACGTGTTTAGTCTTTGCCTGGTAAGTAGGATTTGGAGTAAAGGCTCGTGCGCGCCTGGGTACAACGTACCCGCCTACGGAGTAGACGGGAGTCTGCTCCGTAAAAGGACTCTGTTTTACAGGGGATCTCGCTTGCACTACCATACTTGGTCATGACCTGTGCTCGGGTCTGGTACGTAGGTGACCAGCCCAAAGGGCCTGGAAAGTGAGAGATGGATTCGGGTTTGCGAGGTTGCGCCCGTCTTTCCTATTTTCTTAAACCAGGTTCTGGCGACAACACTTTCATCGCGATACTTGTTCATACTGTAGTTTAACGTGGTTCATCGTAGAATTAATTTTTGGCTTGGTATATTAGGTGCGTAAACGAAATGATCGATGGAACTTTTTCCATTCCGTCTATCTCTTTCGTTTGAGTATTAGCGACTACATTGCGTTAAATTTGTTATTTCGTATTACTAGCATTAATTCGTATTAATTAGAATATTAAGATAATATTAGTTCTAAGCTGAAGAACGAAGACAACCGACGAGGGAACTTAGTTTTTTATAGGTTTAGGCTCAAGAAAGAAGTCATCCGCCGAGGGATTTTAGTATCGGTAGTATTATATAGTTAAGATTTAAGTAATTTATAAGGTTTATTGTGAAAGGTGGGTAGATGTAGAACTTGTGATTCCATCTACTTGCCTTGGGCCTCCACTCGCAGCAACCTCCTCGTGGTGAGGCCTGGGCAATCGGTATTGTCATCGGTAAAGTACTGTAAACTGAAGACAATATCGAGCTAATGGCTGCGAACTTCGAATCTATCTCATAAAACCACGTTCTATATTACATCGAACTAGGATTATTTTAGAAATCGATATGAGATTCAAAGTGTAAAAATGTCTAGTACTTTGAATGTTTTAGAAAATTATTCGAGATAAAGATGTATGGAACTACTGAAAATTAGTTTAGATTCCTTTTCCTTATTCTGTAAATTCTTTGATTGGGATATGAATGCTGCTGGAAGTATGAACATTTTCACAGGACAATGATATAAATGGAACTTGAAAACTTTTATAACTGTTACAGTGATATTCCGTCATATGTTCCATAATGTCAATAATATTGATTTCCCCGCAACAGCCATAATTATTACAAATGTCAATATAACGAAATATCTTATGTGCGATGTTTGTGGTGTAATAAAAATCTGTGTTTCGATTACGTTTTTGATACGTATTACTCACTTATATGTAATAATATAGAATAAAAATATACTGTTAGTCCGATATTTGAGAATATACATGCGTTCGTTGACACTGTTAAACTGTTGTAATAACAATGGAATAATAAAATAATTTACTCAAATGTACATAATAATACATATACATATTCATAAAAACAATATTAAACGCAATAACTTTTTTGTACGCGAAAAAAATCCAATAGGTCCGTCGGGACTAGAACCCAAGACTTCTTTCTACATAATACGTCTACTTTACAGCGAACGAACGGAAGAGAATCCGTTCAAAATAATATGATATTTATGTATGATATATGTAAAACAAACTATGAGCTTCCAAAGTTAAATATTGTTATTAATATAAAAATCACAAAAAATACATACTATAATATAACCAAAATAATTTTTTAAGTCATACAGTAATTCTCTGCGACTGGACAAGCGTCCAACGACTACGCAATTAGCATTCTTATGTACCAGTAAATAAACTCGGTAATTTCGACATTAAAAGAATAAGGTTTTACTAAAACAAGGTTGGTATCAATTCTGGAGACTTCAATAAGTTCAAGAAAACTTTACTTAATCGAAACACACGAATTATTTATTATTTACGAGCTTAAGAAATGCGTTCTCAATGTTAAGGAAACATTTACAAAGACATTCATGTCGCCTCAAGTTCACGATTGCTAAATGATAATATTTTTTTTAAATAATATATCGCGCTTTTGCGAACATTTTTATATGATTTATGATAAGAAAAAAATTATTTTCTATCTTGAAGTTCGCTATGATTTAAACAAAATTTAATATTACCAAAAAATCGCGATAGTGTCCAATCACCAGAACATGTCCAACCACTGGGACATTTACCTTATACTTCATTAATTTTCATAAGAGCTTTCGAAGGATTAGTTACATGTCACATAATTCGTGCGTTTGTGCTACTGAAATTTGGTGTGAATATTTACGTAACAATAACTTTCGTACTCACAATTTTTTTACTCTCTGAAGATTTTCCTTTTTCACTGTCCCCATACGGTGTGTTCCCAAACTGATTCTGCAATCAAAAAGAAAACGTGCATGTAGATTACATAAAGCAATTCGATGAAAAAAGAAATTCCTCAACATTTTCTTCCACTGATAATAGAGTCAAAACATAATATTTTGAATTTAAATTTAGGTTCAGCTTAAATACAGCTAATTGTAAGATAAATTAGGCTTTTACAATTGTAAATATAATTTTTTAGTTATGTGTTAGGGCGTACTCACGATAAACTCACGATTTGCCACTGTTCGTTGATAAATTAATACCACAGAGCTCGTTGGAAGATGGTGTGATTGTGTGTATGTATGTGTGGTGTGATTTGAATAATTTAACACTACTTGGTAACACACGTAAAGCTTTCACAAATGTAATAAAATGTGGTATATGTGTATGTGTGTGACAGTTGTGTTTGCTCTTACTGTAATAGATGTGTTCTATGTAGTTGACGGTGGAATGTGTACTGTCTAGTGGTTGTCCTACGTAGTCGCTCGTTGCTACGGATCGACTTGTGATTGGTGGAAAATGCAGAATTTTGGCTCGTGTATGTTTCGGAAGAAATGGTCGTATGAGGTGGAAGATGTGGGGATTGGTGTATGTATTGTTTTCTGGGATTCCTGGAAGTCAACGCGGAACAATAATAAAGAAATGGTCTTAGGACAGTGAATGTTTTGCATGTGACGTATGTACAGCTGACTCGGAATCCCCATTTATAATGGTTTGTTGACCATATTGACGACCCAAGACGACCGCTGCGACCATCGCCTACCTGCGTTAAGTCGTAATATCCTGCATTACCTGTAACTTCTTCAATGTTTTTTGTATTTTTTTCAACTCCTTTGGATTTTTTATTGCATATTTATCTTTTTTGTGGCATAATAAAGACCGAATTATTATTATTTCATTGTCTTACAAAACAAAATATTGGATTATTCATTAGTAGGTACACGTAACACAATTTAATTTAACAGATTTAATAAACTTCAGAGCTTATTTTTCTCTTTACGCACAGAATTTACGGAAAAAAATTCTAATTTAGAAATGTAACCAATAGAAATACTCATTTTTATAATATAAAAGATTAAGTACATTTATGTAACATCACCGCGACGCTTACTTCATCTTCCTTAATAACAAGTATTCCTCCAATGGTTTACGACGGGATTTTCTACCCAATTATTTTGAAAACCCATTATTATCTGAAGAACGCGAGGATGAAACATTACGCCTGCCGGAATAATTCACCCACGTCACATTTTGGCACAATCATTAAGCATTTCTCACTCATTAGGAGAAACTCTTAAATTATTATTATTTTCAATTTAACGGCTTCGCTGTATCGTCAGAGCCACATATTTTGAAAATACATTTACCTTTTACAGTTCATTATGGAAAGCGATTTGATTCATACAACTATTAATCGATGTCCTAATTTTTAACTATTTTTAACCGACTTCCAAAAAAAGTAAGTTATACAATTGACTTGTATACATTTTTTTCACAAATGCTTCCACATTATCATAATGTACAATAGATTGATAACATAATACAATGCATTTCATCATAATTATTGGAGGAGACACAAATCTCACTTAATCATCAATCAGCGGATGTAGGGTCACTTTTGACCCATGTCACATAAAGATAAAGATTTTTAATTGCTGAAGGAATTTTTTAAAGACAAGAACAAGAGATTCTTTTAGAATCTAGAAGCTAGAAAAGAGAAACCATACGATTTCTGTTGTTTCAATGTGAGATCGCATTATAAGGTAAATAAACATAACTATCAGAAAGTAGCAGGCAATTTCTTTTGCTTCCTTTTGGTTTTTCAAAGTGAAAACAATTCTTCAATGTTAACAACTGTTTTCTGGCTTTCCTGTGTATCACGAAAACTATAGTAGATATAAAGAAATTGTTAAATTAAAAATTCGATGGATTTTTATGCTTTATAAATCTACGAAATTAAACTGTGAAAAATTTATTTATTCGAACAACCTATTTTTAACAGTTTCATTGCACAGTTTCATAGTGCCTAAAAATCGATTAAATTTTCACTTCAGCAATTTCTTTATATCTACTACAGTAGACACCTCGTCTGTCTGAAGGAATTGTAACATTTCGCAAAAATGATATATGTATATATTTCAAGCTACTGATATTATTGTTAAAACAGTTTCACACAATTTCAATCCATCTTTAAATTAATTCCTCACAAGTTCTTTTAATTTTTCAATTAATTTCATTGTACCAGTTATACATATTTAACTTCGATTGTATTGGCTAAAAAAACTCTTCAACTTGTTTGTAGATAGATTTTATTTTCGACGTTTTCTCTTGATACAGAGTATCCTGGTGATTTATAACAACATTTACATTCAATTCACGTCTGGAAAATACTACCTATTTATCAAATTAAACGACTTTTCCTTCGTTCAGTAAAAATATAACAAAGACATTGTATTCGAAACGCTACAAAACTTTCCGAACAACCCAATACCTTATATGTAGTAGCACAAGCATTATCCATCGAGCTTTAATATCCTCTTAACAATATTTATTCCAAACTTTCCGGAATTTCGTAATGCCTTGTAACATTTACTGCATATTCAATGAGTGTTCTAATCCTTATGAGCCGGAGTGTATACGGGAAAATAAGGAACCAGACGAATTAATCTTTCAGGGATGTTGTCACCCGAAAGGACCAAAAGTAGCAAAGAAGAAATTGCTTGACACTTCTATAGAGGTCCCCAAAAAACCCTGCAAAATTTCAAAAGATTCAGATTCTTCATTTTACCGAAGTTCCCTTCCTTGGCAGTCTGTTATCGCGTCAGTTAATCATCCTCGACAAAGAATATCACCCCAAACAATGATTTCCATGTCCCCAAAGAAGATACATTTGTCACGTACTCGTCAAACATCTAATTTCCTGTTGATGAAACGTGGGCACGTCTCGTTTACACACGCGGTACTATCAATTTCTGTTCCGCGGTGGTCGGTCGGCGATTCCGTACTACCTGAATTTGCTGAAATTTCGATTGAAAGTCAATAATTGCACAGACGGAAGGATTTGAACTCCATGTAATTCAACGACCGAATTCAGTGACCGCTTTCATACTACATTTTCGCTTTATCTTGGCATTACCATATACGCCCCAGGGCGGAGTCTTTCCGTCGAATCGATCGCCAGCTGCTATTACCTAAATGATGTATCAGTAAACGTACGTCTCTCGCCGTGATTCCTGTTCATTGCCATACCCGACTGTTTGTGTTTCGTTTGCCCGCTACGTGGACAGTACAACACCCTGACAATTATAAAACATTTTAGGGTATGCGTTTCTTAGCTCGTACGTGGACACGTGTGTAAAGTTACAAATAAAATACCGATTTTATGTATGTACAGTGTGTGTAAAAAGTATTCGTACACCTATTAAAACGGAACAACTCTTTTAAAATTGGTCCAAATGACTTGAGTTTTTTTTTGTGAAGTTAGAGACATTAATTTACTAAATGATGTGAAAAAACAAATTTGAAAAAGTTGCAATTGGTCCCAATCGCGAAGAAAATATTAAAGGTCGTGTTTTACAACTTTTTAATCTGAGGCTATAATGAAAATTTAATAAATACATATCGAAGATTTATGTTAGTTATGTACATACTGAAACTTTCATTGAAATCGGTTAATACAGGAACGAGCGGCAGACATCAAAAGATGTGAGAATTGTTGGATTTACTACAGTTGTAGATCGGAAGTCGGGAAAAACTGCGATTTTCAACATTTTTAATCGTTTGTATCTCGTAGCAACGTTAACCGATTTTGATGAAATTTTCAACATGTATATAACTAACATAAATCTTCGATATGTATTTATTAAATTTTCATTATAGCCTCAGATTAAAAAGTTGTAAAACACGACCTTTAATATTTTCTTCGCGATTCGGACCAATTGCAACTTTTACAAATTTTGTTTTCACATCATTTAGTAAATTAATGTCTCTAACTTCACAAAAAAACTCAAGTCATTTGGACCAATTTTAAAAGAGTTGTTCCGTTTTAAAGGGTGTACGAATACTTTTTACACTCACTGTATATCATGCATGATTACCTTATATGCAGTATCGTTAGAGAATTTGGTAATTATACAGAATAAGGAAGCCACTTTCGATTCGAATGACTTTGAAATGTGTTGTCAAGGTCATCATTATGGATAATTTCTCATATACATACAATAGTCGGTCTCTTTCAGTTTTCGAGACATTCGCAAAAATATGATTGCCACTATGTATATCCACCGTACTTGTAAAGATTTCTTCTTAAATTAACATTAGAACTACCGAAGATGAATGTGTTGTTGTTTACATCGTGTTCGTAAAAGGGATAGCATGTTCAATATGTGCAAATTGATAAATTAATGAACTTCTTCAATTGTATATTGCTATTCAAGTTGCGAAGAATCTCAGAAAATGCACTGTTATAACGATTAATAATTTTGATAAGAATTTACGTACCAGTTATTTTGACTGCTTTGGTAGTTCTAGTGTTACGAGTGAATACTTACAGTATTTGTGCATTATGAACACACAGGGTATCCTAAAATAACTTCGAATCCCGGAAATTAGGTGATCCTGGGGTGATTTGAAACAACGTTTTCCTTAGCAAAATTGTTATCCGAGGCTTTGTTAACGAGATATTAACGAAAACCCCCGACCAATCAGAGCACGCGTCTGCCGGTGGAATTCCCACGGTAGCGTTGGCTACCAATCGCAGCGCGTAGGTAAGACAAATATGTCTGCACTGTAGTCCAGTTTTAGGTGGCCACGGAAAGCGTAATACTTAAAACACAATTCACAGATCAATATTCCAAGCAACATTTTCGTTTGGCATGTAAAATTCACCCTGTCCAAGTGACCGACATTTCAACTGACAGTCTTGTATAACACAATTATTATAAAAGTATATATGACACAGAAAGAAATAATATAAAGCATAAGAAAAGAGGATACGTTTTTTTTTCCAA